GCGAGGACTATACAAACTCCCTGTAATATAGAGCTCATAGTGATACGGTCCTTTCATTCAGCGAACATTCAACTAAGTCTAGAACATGATATAGTGTCTATCCCAATAACTCAGTCTCTGTCTCTCAATCTTTCTAGATGATCCATAACGATCATATTCGATATCCAAAACGAATATATCTTTGCATTGGCCAATGACTTTATGATCCATCTAGATATGAGAAGTAGAATGTTCTCTCTTAATCTATTATGAGGAATGAATCCTTTCTTGGCTCAACTACTACTCCATGTGCTTCGTGATGCACCCAACACATGCCGTATCTACCCCGATTGGAGTGCAAGCGTTGGTCATGGTCAAAGTACATCACTTCGCACATGTAGTACATATTGACCTCAAGTCGGAGGACTATTACACTACTCTATACGCCGATAATCCCATAGACACATGAATAGAACTTATCAAATGGTTTCTCGGTGGGTATGCCAATATTCTCTAAAATATCTATGTGACCATCATGAATTACAGGAACTCATAGTCGTGAGATCAACTATACTTTCTAAAAGTATGATGCAGTCCACATACCAATCTTATCGCATATCATCAATATCCCATTCTTGATGATCATTTGATTGGGGCTATTTTAGGACCTTATGTTATATCATATAAGCTCTCACTTACTTATTGACAACATAAATCCAAGGGAACACAATTATGAATAAAATATTGACAATCGAAAACAATCATCATAAAGTATAATACCGTGTATATATCAAATATAAAAACTAAATGTGATCAAGTACATATGTCTTTAAAGAAATGATTGTCGCTTGGACATATATACTAACAATCTCCCACTTGGCCTAGTGCCAATCACCAATGCGTCTAACACCTAGATTCTCAAAATGTCTAGTATGTTTCTCACAGCTCAAAGGTTTGGTGAAGGGATCAGCCAAATTGTCCTCAGTGGAAACACGTTCTATTGCAACCTCTCCTCTTGCTATCTGCTCTCGAATCACATGATAGCGCCTCGGCACATGTCCATTCCTCTTGTCGCATCTTGGTTCCTTTGCTTGTGCAACAGCACCAGTATTGTCACAATAAATGGTTATTGGATGACTATCATTTGGAACAACCCCTAATTCTTTGAGGAATTCACGTATCCATACGGCCACCTTAGCTGCTTCTGATGCAGCAATGTACTCGGCTTCTGTTGTCGAATCAGCTGTAGTGTCTTGCTTGGAACTTTTCCAGTCTACTGCTGCTCCATTGAGATTAAAAACATATCCTGATTGTGACTTATAGTCATCCTTATCTGTCATGAAGCTAGCGTCAGAGTAACCAGATGCTATTAGTTTCTCTTGTCCACCATAAACCAAGAAATATTCTTTAGTTCGTCTAAGATACTTAAGAATAGTCTTAACAGCACTCCAATGTCGTTCTCCTGGATTATTTTGATATCGACCAACAATACTAAGCGCATAAGCCACATCTGGCCTAGTACATATCATAGCATACATGATTGAACCAATTGCAGAAGCATATGGAATCCCTCTCATGCGTTTGATCTCATCATCAGTTGAAGGACTATCCTTCTTTGATAACGATATCCCATGACCCATCGGGAGGAATCCTTTCTTAGATTCTTCCATTTTAAATCGATGTAGTATTTTGTCAATATACGTGGATTGTGAAAGACCTAACATCCTGTTAACTCTGTCTCTATAGATCTTAATCCCAAGGATATAACAGGCTTCACCTAGATCTTTCATCATGAAGATATTGGATAACCATTCTTTCACGGACTTCAATAAGGGGATATCATTCCCTATGATCAGAATGTCATCAACATATATGACCATAAAGACCACGCTATCCTTACTGTGTTTTGTATATACACACGCATCCTCATTGCTTCTGATGAAGCCAAACGATTTGACCGCTTCATCAAAACGGATATTCCAACTCCTTGAGGCTTGCTTTAGCCCATATATGGATTTCTCCAATTTACATACTGATTTGGGATTTGACTTGGATATAAAACCTTCAGGTTGTACCATGTACACCTCCTCCTTGATGTTTCCATTAAGGAAAGCAGTTTTGACATCCATTTGCCAAATTTCATAATCATAGTATGCTGTTATCGCAAGGGGACAATGGGGAGGCTTTATGGGATGGAAAGGTACCTCGAAAGTACGGCAGCCCCAATGAATTACAGGAACTCATAGTCGTGAGATCAACTATACTTTCTAAAAGTATGATACAGTCCACATACCAATCTTATCGCATATCATCAATATCCCATTCTTGATAATCATTTGATTGGGGCTATTTTAGGACCTTATGTTATATCATATAAGCTCTCACTTACTTATTGACAACATAAATCCAAGGGAACACAATTATGAATAAAATATTGACAATCGAAAACAATCATTCATAAAGTGTAATACCGTGTATATATCAAATATAAAAACTAAATGTGATCAAGTACATATGTCTTTAAAGAAATGATTGTCGCTTGGACATATATACTAACAATGTCATCATTAGTTTCATACACAACACACATACAAATCACCATATACAGAGCACACACACATAGAAATCATCATTTACAGATCACATACACACTGTGTAGGCAATATGGGGGTCACACATAACAAATGGGGTTCAAGGACCATCATAACCATCCATTTGTGTATCAGATTTCTTCTTAAGGAACATATGGGATAGAAATCATCATTTACAGAGCACATACACACTGTCAGGGGGCTATGGGGGGTCACACATAACAAATGGGGTTCAAGGACCATCATCACCATCCATTTGTGTATCAGATTTCTTCTTAAGGAACACATTGGATAGAAATCATAATTTACAGAGGTTACATACACAGAATTCATCATACACACATCACACAAAACATAGTGAAAAATGAAGTGAAATGGAGGTAAAGATTATTACTGTCCTTCCGAATCGCTGTTATGCACTTCCTCCACAGTTTTTTCGCATTCCTCATGTTCTGTACCGTCATTGAACCTGTCCTCGTCGCCTGACCATGAATCCAAGCCTTCTTCCCAACTACCTTTTCTTTGCACCGATGTCACCTCTTCTCCTTCTTCCTCGTCAAGTCCCTCCAAACCATCGTAGGTGTCAGAAACGAGATTGTCACCATATTTCTTCCGCAATCTTCAGTTCGGATCGGTCTCTGAAGAACTGTAAGGTGAAAACCGGACGAATCGCCAGAATGGAACTGTGCTAGGCGGATCTGAAATAGGCGATGAATCCACAACATGTGTTTTGTCAGTTAACGACACATCTTCTGCGGGAAGTTTTTTATCCATGCAGGGGGGATTGGCGATGGAGGTGGACGGATTCACAGAGATGGTGGTAGATGATGAGGAATTAGAGAGAGCGTCCACCTAGGGTTTTTCGGAGAGGGTGATGATTTAGGGGTTTGAAAGCTGGTAAGATGGAAAGACAATGGATTATGGGGCGACGGAGGACGATGGGGGAATGGAGGGTTGCAGACAAAAGGGAAGGATAGAGAGGCAATGATAGAAGAAAGAGAGAGAGGCATAGAGATAACAATGACAACCGGGTAGAAGGGAGGGACGAGTAGGTGTAGGGTAAAATATGAAAAGAGTAAGATGGTAAATTCAATCCAAAAACTTACTAAATATAGAAAGAAAATGAAGTGTGAAGTTTATTTAGGGACTGCCCGAAAAGAAAAGTGAGAAGTTTATTTATGGACGGATGGAGTAGTTATACTTGAGTGCAAAATATTTATTGGTAGTTTTGAAAATAGCCATCAACCTTAAGTTTGACTCAAATATTCAATGTTCGAGATGTCATGGTTAATAACAATGATTTGATAACAATGATTGATATTGACATAATAAATTGACAATGACATAAAACAAATTGTTGATAACATATAAAACTGCTAATATAATGACATTCATAATTTTTTAAACTGCTGTAATATCATATTCATAAATCCATAAGGACCATACAGGGGCGGATACACACTCAAGGTTATGGGGGCACATGCCCCCAACAAAGTTTAAATTTTTAGCTTTATAAATTATATTTTATTAACTAATTAGGGGTGTGCCCCCAATAAGAAAAACAAAATGCCCCCAACAAGAAAGAAGGATGCTCTAATGGCCCAATTAAATACGGAGTACATTGACAAAGAACACAAATTACCACGGAGTAATTAAGACTCTTAATTAAGAGTGAACAATTTGTTTTTTATTTTATATAATTAATATTTCAGAAATAACTTTATAATTTTTATAGTTACATACTCTACTGGTTTATGAATTAGAATGCCTAAAGCCCCCATATTGTTTTTGCGATTAAATCCATATGATAGGACACTCGAAAAGTATATGTGTTTCTAAAAAAAAGTATATGTGTTATTGTGTTAGTTGTTACTATATAAAGTTAGTTAATTAATTCATGAAAAACGTTAGCTAATTGATCATTTACTTTTCCCTCAACTCTTAATATAATTTTTCTGGTTTTGAATTGATTTTATTTTAACAATATTATTGTTTTAATGCAAAAAATACAATCACAAAACTAATAAAGATATTCCAAAATAAGAAATATATAGTATAATATTATATACTTATTGGACGAACCTGGACATATGTCTCTATTTTTCTCAATTTTTGGTTGTTCATATGAATACATTTGCATTAGAGATTTAAAGTCCGTTTGGTAATGCTGAGATTGGCCTAATCATCTGTTTATACGAAAATTTATGACGTTCTGTTGAAGTGTTGTATTAGCTGATTCTGCTGATTTATTAAAAAAAAATTAAATTATGTTTTAATAATATAAAAAGTTATATGAAAAATAACTGAAATGGTATTCTATAGTAACTTCAGTCAATTTATCTAGAAAAGTAACTTCAACCTTACTTATTTTGATTATTACATAATTCAACTTGCGAAATCAAATGTTACATGTTTGGTGAATAAAATGGCAGATAAGGTTGATAAGCCGGGAAAAAAATATGGTCTTCAAACGGGCTTTTGGATAAACTCTACCTCTTACTTTATGTCATATTGGAGTGCCCCCAATAACAAACTTTTCTGTATCCGCCACTGGGACCATAAGTTTTATTATTTATATTTATACACTTCCTAACTTAAATAGTTAAAGTACTTAACATTAACTGCTCAAGCAGTCAAGCTACATACTAGTAATAAATTTAACCCTAGCATTGACAAACATTCCTCACCCATGCCAAGAAGGGGAACAAAAGGGAAGGAATGAAGGGCTATCAAACCCAAAACTTCCACCTGAGAAACAGAGACAGATTTTAGAAGAAACCAGGAGCAGGATCAGTACTGGTTCCCATTCCTATTGCCTCCATCAACAATTCCTCACCATGATTGTGATTATTACCTTCTGGTTGGACACTATAATAAGCATCATCAAGCAGCCATTTCTCCAGGATTGCCAGGGGCATTTGTGTCCCCAGACTGTTAATAGATGAGTTTTTCTTCCCGTTATCCGCCGGGAAGGAGGCGATAACTCCATTGTTACTGTTCAAACTGTCCAAGTTTGCAACCGATTGAGCGAAATTGGCTGGAGTAGTACTCAATAAAGCGGTTGCGGCAGTAGTGCCTTCTTCGCTACTCAGGCTCGAGCTCGAGCAGTCGCAGCCGGCCGCCGGAGGGAAGGATAACGATGAGCTCTGCTGCGGCATCGCAAACTCAAATCTGGACGCCGCCGTTGTGGGGGAGGGATTCCTGGTCCAGTTGCGGAGTAATTTCGATATGTTTTCTTCGCTAGTTGCGTAAGATGCGGGCGATTGAATCGATGGACGCCGGAAGTCGGTCGCCGGAATATCAATCGCCGCTTGACGAGGGGGCGGTGGCTGGCTGCTGCCGGAGGTCGATGCGTCGATGGAGAGGGCCTCGCGTAGGGCTCGTTTGGCCAATTCGATATCCGCTTGGAGCCTCCTCTCCCACTGGCCTTTTGAGCTTGATGATGAGGAATTAGATTCAATATTCTCATCGTCGGCGTACCCTAGAAGCGGCGGCGGCGTCGTTTTGTACTTCTTCTTCAAATGGGTATTCCAGTAATTCTTTATATCGTTGTCGGTCCTTTGGGGAAGATAAGAAGCTATGGCTGCCCACCTACCACCACCCACAAAACAACAAAATATATTCAATATAGATATTTGACCCTACTCATTCATACGCAAAAGCTGGGAAGTTTTTTTAGATTATATCATTTGATGACCGCAAAACTGTTTGATCTAACGGCCAGCCTAATTAAGGAGAAGTAACTCAAAGTCTTAGACGCATGATGTGATGTGATGCATTCATCTATGATTAATCCGTTGAGATAACTTAAAACAACATACACCTACGTACCGATTGCCAAGGAGAGCTTGGAGATGAAAAATCATCTTCTCTTCTTGCTCGGTAAAGTTGCCCCGCTTGATCCCGGGACGGAGATAGTTCGTCCATCTGAGCCTGCAACTTTTGCTGCACCTAAGCAACCCTGAAATTCACGATGTCTTCCAACAAATCAACAATGGAGATCAAAAAAGAAATAACTACTAGTAGGATGAAATGAAACAACTTATCATTGTTAAGATGATTAACTTAATATGAATATATGCTGATTCATCAATTTGTATCTGCACAACAAGGAAATGGAAGGAATGGGTTGAATTACCAGTATTAGTAGGGACATGTCTCCAGTTGCCAGGGCCATGTTTTTGGATGTATGACACCAAAGTGATATCTTCTTCTGGAGTCCATGGCCCCTTCTTCACTCCTATTTTATCACAACAAGGTGGCCTTCCCATGATCAGATATGGATTCCTCTCTTCGATCTCACTCTTCCCGTAGATATACGGCATAAACGAAGTTGTATTTTTCGATCTAAACTTGATCGAAAATTATCTAAGGCAAATGGGGGGCCATCTCTATATTATATATAGAGACTTAGAGAGTAGAGCTAGAAATTAATGGTAACCGGGTGAGAGTAAGTTTGAATAGAGTTGACTGAAATTAGAATTAATTAATAAGGTGATGAAAGGGGCTATCCCCCGAAAAGAAGAAGAACCGAAGTTAAAGAAGTCAACTGGGACATCAAGCTGCATTTACTCTTCTGTTTTCAAAAGTCAAATCTTTGCTTAGGTATACTATCTGTGTTTGATCACACTGGTTTTTCAGATGCACTCTAGATATACTTAATAATCCCATAATATATACTAATTGTTTAATTCTGAAAGTCTATATTTAACGTCTGGAATATTTTTCAATTCGATTTATTCAGGATTTGATGGCCCTTGGTGAAAGTCCTTGCCATTCGTTGCAAGTAGTTTTGATATTGTCATTTCTGGATATGTGCGTACCAGAGATAAAATTGCATATTGATACTTAAACTTTTTGCATGTTCAACTATTATATGAGGTAAATCGTTATTAAAAATCAATGATATAGACTGTCTATCTCTCGCATGACACATCTTACCATACATAATAATAATTATTATTTTAATAATAATAATAATAATTATTATAATTATAATAATAATCATAATCATAATAATAATAATAATAATAATAATAATAAAATCTCTTCTCCTTATTTGGTTGAGTCTTCCAGATTATGGCATGGTAGACTAGGACATATTAATTTTGAATCTATAAGTAAATTAATTAACATGGAACACACTCCTAAATTAAAAATTAATGTGAAGCACAAATGTGGAATTTGTGTTGAGGCAAAACTAACGGAAACGTCTTTCAAATCGATTGAAAGAAAAACGAAACCACTTGAATTAATTCATAGTGACGTTTGTGATTTGAAATCAATACAAACATGTGGTGGTAATAAATATTTAGGAAAATAGCAAATTTCTGAGATTTCAAATTACGCCCCCGAGTTGGCCCACTTACATTAAATGTTGTCCCCGCCATTAGAAGTCCAACTAACAGCATTTGGTCTTCCATTTTATCAGGGGTAAACGCGTAACTTCCCTTCATTAAAGGTTTAAATCCCTAATCTAACTACAAACCTTCAGATAAAGTTCATTCTTCCGCACCAAAACTTCTCATTTTCTTCATTCGTCCAGACGTGGGATTTTTTCAGGAGCTCCTCCATTGTCAAACGATTTAGGGTAGCTTAGGTTGAGGTTCGTACTTGTAAGAACTAGTTTCCAGCTCAGGTCTCAGCTGTATATCCACAAAGGATACCAATTTCACCACTAGAATCAACAAAGGGAGATTATGGGCAACAACCAACAAGGAACTAATTACGTATTCTTCACTTCTGTGTTCTTCTTGTGTGTCTTTGTGATTTCTTTGTTTCTTACTTCAACGAGAGATATAGGGTTTGCAAATTACAAACGAAGATAATATATGTATGTTTTGGATGAATTGGCTAGGCATGAACAAAACTTGATTTATTTTGCGGGAACAAAAATGTTGACAAATTACGGAACAAATTGACTAGGCGCCATGTCCAACGGAATGTTCATTTTCAGAGAAGTATTTGAGGTTTAAGAAAAGGATTTGAATTTGGGAGTGATAAGCGTGATATAGACTTCACGTAATGAAGGTTGAAGAGATAGTTACGAAATTAGGGATTTAAACCTTTAAGGAAGGGAACTAACACGTTTAGCCCAGATAAAATGGAAGACCGGATGCGGTTAGTTGGACTTCTACCGGCAGGGACGACATTTAATGTAAGTAAGCCAACTCGGGGTGTAATTTGAAATCTCAGAAATATGGGTCTGAAATTTCAATGCGGGGATAACTGAGGGACCAAATATGTGATTTTCCCTAAATATTTTATTACCTTTATCGATGATAGCACTCGCTATAGCTATTTGCCTGCAAATAAACATGAAGCAATCGATAAATTCATTCTTTATAAGAATGAAGTGAAAAATCAACTTAATTAGCGGATTAAAACGGTTAGAAGTGATCAAAGTGGTGAATATGAAGCACCAATTGGTGACTATTGTGCGAGTGTGGGTATAATTCATGAACATACTGCATCCTATTCACCTTGATCAAACGATGTTGTCGAACGAAAGAATCGCACATTGCAAGATATGATGAGTGCAATGCTAGTAAGTTTGGGCCTCCCACAAAATATGTGGAGCGAATCAGTTTTGTCAAGCAATTACCTTTTAAATAAGGTACCCCAGATTTTTTTTGATAAAACTTCCTACGAGTTGTGGAAAGGTAGAAAATCTTCCTATTAATATTTAAAAGTGTGGGACTGTATTTTTCTTGGTTATGCGCTTAATAGTAGTGCTTATCGGTTTTTAGTGTATGATTCGAATAACCCGGATGTAAATAAAAACATGATAATTGAATCAAGGAATGCATCATACTTTGAAGATGTATTTCCATGTAGGTCCAACGAAGGACCAAGTACGTCAAATTGAACGATTGACGTGGCTATGGATAATACAAGTGATGGGTCCGGAGATGAAGCCGAGCCCAGACGTAGCAAACATGCTAGAGTTGAAAAATCCTTCGGTCCGGATTTTTTTACCTATTTGGTAGAATTTGATTCAGACATTCTAACATGTATGGTAGAAAATGAACCGGATTTTCTAACGTGTCTGGTCAAAATGAGCCACAGACTTATACGGAATCCGTGACGTCTACCGAAGGTCCAATGTGGAAAGAATCCATCAAAAGTGAGATGAATTTTATTCTTCAAAATCACACTTGGGAACTGGTTGATCTTCCCCCGGGTTTTAAACCGTTAGGTTTCAAGTGGATTTTTAAAAGGAAAATGAAACCTAACGGTTCCATTGACAATTACAAGGCTAGACCTGTAATTAAAGGATACAAGCAACGTGAAGGTCAGGATTACTTTGATGTGTACTCTCTTTATGAGAATAAACTCCATTAGGATAATACTAGCTAGCCATCGCTGCATTGTGAAACTTGGAAGTTCATCAAGTGGATGTAAAAACCGTTTTTCTATATGGAGAGATAGACGAAGAAATCTATATGGAACAACCTGAGGGATTTATTGTTCCTGGCCAAGAAAGGAAAGTGTGTAAATTGGTTAAATCATTGTATGGATTGAAACAAGCCCCTAAATAGTGGCACGAAAAGGTCGATCATGCGATGTTAGCCAATGGGTTTAAAATAAACGAAAATGATAGATGTGTCTACGTGAAGAGTACAATAGACGGCTATGTCATTTTGTGTTTATACATGGATGATATACTCATCGTTGGTACTAATAATCTAATGATTAAATCTACCAAAAGCATGTTAAATTCCAAATTTGACATGAAGGATATGGGGCTAGCCAAGTTAATCATCGGGATTAAAATCACAAGGAGACCGGACGGTCTTGTACTAAGTCAATTCCATTATGTCGAAAAAATTCTTACGAAATTTAATAAGGATGACGATCAAGAGACATGGACACCATTAGATAAAAGTGTACACATGTCCAAAAATCATGGAGAGTGTGTTTCTTAAATATAATACGCTAGGATTATTCGAAGCTTGATTTATCTAATGAATTGTATCGGGTCTGATATTGACTTTGTGGTTAGCAAGCTAAGAAGGTATACTAGTAACCCCGGTGATGAACACTTGAAGGCAATAGTAAGGGTTTTGAGGTATCTAAGGAAAACCCAAAACCTTGGACTGCACTATAAAAGATATCCAGATGTATATGAAGGGTATAATGACGTTGGTTGGATATCAGACATTACAGACTCAAAGTCTACAAGTGAATATGTTTTCATTGTGTGGGGTACAGTCATGTCTTGGAAATCATCGAAGTAAACGATAATAGCTAGATCCACGATGGAATCTGAGCTAATAGCCTTAGATAAGTGCACTGAAGAGGCTGAATGGATATGCCATTTTCTTGAGGATATTCCAAGTTGGGAAAAGTTTGTCCCTCCAATTTGCATACATTGTGACTGTCAAGCAGCAATTGGAAGGGTACAAAATAATATGTATAATGGTAAGTCTAGACATGTTCATCACTGACATATGGTCATTAAACAACTTCTTACAACAGGTGTTATCACGGTTGACTACGTGAGGTCAAAAGATAACATAGCGGATCCGCTAACCAAGACATTGAATAAAGAACTGTTTGAGAAGTTGTCACGAGGAATGGGACTAAAGCCTTTGAATTGAGAAGTTCTATAGTGGATACCTAACCTTATTGACCCTGAGTTCAAAGGGGAAAACTAAATTATAGAACAAAGGATGGTCACTGTGGGGGTCTTGAACTCCTACTCACTCCTCATTGAAACAGTGACTCCCGCACGAGGTTAGGAAAATGTTTGCTTTAATGATTCTAAAATGTTGACCTGCGTGATAACATTAGAAGAGTATGTGGGATACTCATGAAGGAATCACCTATGTGAGAGAGAAGAGGGTCATTTCAAAGGATAATTGTGAAGGCTTGGTTCTTTAAAAACTCTCGCAGAACCAGTATGGTGACCCATGGCCAAAATGGGCACACTTATGAGAACAGAACAAAGATGGAAGGTTCTTGTGTAAATATAAGTCAATGTTTACACAACGGCAATATAGTTCAATGACATTGAGTCCACTAGACAGCCAGTAAACAAACATGTCTTTACAGCGGAAGGTTTAAAGGATAAAACCTACCTCTCCATATGCAGGGATCATCCGGCGAACACAGTTGTGTCTACGTATCTTCATGTCTTTTTCAAGTCTCGAAAATCATTTTTCAATCATGTGGGGGATTGTTGCAAAAAATTTATTAAAAATTGCATTAAATGGCTATATTTTGGCAGTATTTTGAGTGGGGTCCACTTTCGATTTGGGTCGGTTCAAAGTGGTTTCAGATTCTCCTTTCTAAGGGGTTCAATTCGATATGTGATACACTAAAAATGGATAATGGGTGAATGAAAATTGATTCTTGAAGCTCACATGTTGAGATGGAGAAATTGAAAATTTCCGAAGGTAGAAATACACGAAGAACTATCATCGGTTAATGGCCGTTCTAATCTCTCCTTCGAAATGCTAGAGTTTCAAACGTTGCCTAATATTTAGAAACTATAAAATGTGATTAAAACACGGTTTAATTACATGGTTAATGGCCTGAAACGTTACCATTACAACACAATAAGTGTGGTGTTCACTAGTAGAAAACAGGCTTACAATGACACTTTTATGGTGACACTTTCTGATATAATGAAACCAATGATACAAAAGTGTCATTATTTTCTAATACAAATATATCAGCATAAGATACTGACACTCATTACAATTTCAATTT